ATATCCCCTGCTGCTTCAATAGCTTGTTCACATTCTGTGGATACATTGACAACTTTGTTAAGGAAACCTACAGCATTCTCTGGTTTAATACCAAGCTCGTAGACTTTCTTCCTTGAAGCCGAAGCGAAAATCATGGCCTTCAAAACTGTCTTGTCATATTCTGCAGACTGTACAAACGCACAATTCTGTAGACTGTAGACCGTACAGACGCACAATCTACCACAGTATACAACAGTTATAATGCTATATCTAGTTAATTAAAATATATATATATATATATATATATATATATATATATATATATATATATATATATATATATATTATATATATATATATATATATATATATATATATATTCTATATATATATATATATTCTATATATATATATATATTCTATATCAGTCTGTTCGCAGTGCGTCTTTTTAACTTTTTCCATAGACTGTAGAACTCGTTTTAGTGAGTCTGCCTTCAAATCAAACCTCGAAAAGTTGTCCTGTTCCTTTGATAGAAGGCATTCAAGTTCCAAAAGAAATTTTCCAGTATCTACAGTCTCATTTTTCAAAATAATGTATCGAGTGTTAAGCACTGTTGTCACAAAAACACACAGTCCATATTCCTCATTTAGAAGATAATCTCTAAATTCCTTATCTTCAGTTTCTCGTTCCATGAAGCCACAAAATATCCCATGAGCTTCACTATATGGGAGATAACCAAACGCGTTACCGCCATCGTAAGAAGCCAAACGCGGTCTAAGAATATACAACAAGCCATCTAAAATTCGACACTTCAAAGTATTTTTCCTATAGAACACGATAAGTCCTTCGATCTTTTCCTCATTCTCACACGCTTTGCACGACTGCAATGATTGACCCTCCCTTTTTTGCTGTCTATTTTTTTGACCCTCCCTTTTGAAGGGCTCAAAAAATTATGACCCTCCCCTGTTTTCCACCCCCACCCCGCTCCTAATTTCTGTCAAGTCCCTTATATCTTGACTTGCCTTGTGCGTAAACAGACCAGAAATACAGGAACAATATATAATTGTAAAATTTCTGTTTAGTTATCATATTCACAACATTTGACTCCATATTTGCCACATTGTACTTCATATTCGCTACATTCGTTTCCAGATTCGCCATATTTGTCTCCACATTCGCGGTATATGACATTCTGACTCCATATTCGCAACACGCGTGTTTCCACATTTGAATTTTGAAACATTTGACTTCATAGTCGTCACATTTGACTCCATGTATAAATAGTTTAGGTACAGTGATATAGCACGGTTTCGAGTGGAATTTGGGAAAAAAACATGCACGTGTGAGTTGTTCAAAGAGGATCAAAATTGTACGTGTCCGAGGTCCGAACACTGAATTTAACATATAAAGTCTACATGTCACAAGAAGCATAAACAAAGTATAAACACACTGAAACTGCCTGTATTAAGCCGCAGTATTTATATAAAATGACGGAAATATTATGTAAATTTCGTCGATATTATAGCATGCATGTGCGTACAGACGCACAATCTACCACAGTATACAACAGTTATAATGCTATATCTAGTTAATTAAAAAAAAAATATATATATATATATATATATATATATATATATATATATATATATATATATATATATATATATATATATATATATATATATATATATATATATA